TCTAATTCATGAGCATTAAACAGAACCAATTGTTAAGGAGAAGCTATCCTCCCCAAGGCTTTTCTATGCATATGTCTTAATCCAATTTATGTTGGAGCTGTGAGACCCACTGAGTCCAGGCAGTGCAGTGTAACCTTACCAGCTCAAGGACCTCTGCATCACACACTGGGCTTCTGGCAGGCCAGGCAGGACAGCTCTGCGGGCATGTCCTCTAGCACCCACAGCCAAAGTTACTGCATCTGAGATAGATACACAGCATTGCTACCCAACAGCTGATCAGAGACACGGCAAATTTCGCTGCTTTTTCTCTTCCTCCTGGAAAAATAGCAACCTGAGGCCAGATATCTGAAGGGGGAATATCCTCAGAGAGGCACTCAGAGAAGGTGATAATGGAGCTGGCTGGGCTGGGAGCCTGGCCTTCTTTCCCTTCTCTGTAAAAGGCATTGCCTTTCTCTAAGCTTAAGTGCACCCTGACCGGCACTATTAAAGCTCAAACTCACAGCTTCGCTTAAATGCCACAGGCACAGGTCTGGGTAGGCAAAGTCAAAGGCAGAGGAGTTTCATGCAGAACAAGCCATTTCTTTTTCATCTTCATGTAAGCTTACAGCAAAATCAGTGAATTAAGCCTCAGCTTCCCTGAAAGCAGAACTGCATTGCTAAATAATGCTACAATTACAGTGTAAGTTAGCTTTACCTGAATAGCATAAAATTTACAGCAGCAATAAAAACATAATTGCTATTAGTAGAGGCTATGTGTTTTAGCAAGCCAAGGTCCAGAACAGGTTGTATTATGGATGCAAGTACATGCTATGTTATTCCATCCCAGCTATGGTTAGTCTAGCTAAGCAGATTTTTATGAAATCATGCAGCACAGAAAAAAACTTTTAGATGAGCAAACTGTTAAGTGGGAAAACAATTCCAAGATCTGAGGTCAAGGCACTAAAGAAAAGAAATAGGTGAAGCTACTGTCTTCCCACCCCTCCAAACCTGCTGCAAAATTCCAGTTATGTTAGATAAGCATCAGAGAAAAAAAGGGAAACTGCACCAGCTATAAACTTTTAAACAGAGAAATGCCACTTTAAAACCACAAAGAAAATCCCTGTCATAGCAGGAGACAAAATGGAAGTTTGAAACTTGATTTACTGTTACCTTATGCAAATAATTGCACATATGTAAGTCTATACCATAGCAGAACAAACTAGGTAGCTTTCAATGAAAACAAACAAACAAACAAACAAACCAACCCAAAAAAAAAACAAAAAAAAGGCCACCAAAAACAAATAAACCAAAACCAGCAGCAGTAATGGGGATCTAGCTAGCCCACCAGCAAATATGTTACAGCAGTATGTGAGAAATACTGTACTCAAAGCATTTTGTTGGTATTACAGGCTACAAAGCTCTGCTCAGCTTAATGTACATGCAGCTATAGAGAAAAAATTGCTATTGCTGAGAGTACAGCTTTATACACAGAGAAAATAATAGCAAATAGATTATAAACAATAAATGATAGATATAATTGCAAAAAGTTTTGGTCTACTTTTCACCTAGCTCTTCAGAAATGTGTAAACTTCAAGCTCTTTTGATCAACAAACAAAAAACTTAACAACTTCCTTTGTATTTTTTTTTTTCTAACCACTTCAGTTCCCACATGCAAGTTCCTCCCATTTACAAGCTCCCTTCCCAGCATGCTTTTCTGCTTGCTGATTTATTTAAACCGAGGAGAGGGAACTAGTTGTAGTTTTTAACATGAGTGTTACTTAATTGGTGTTGGTTTGCTACTGTGCTGGTAAGGCTCCCTTTTACTTACGGAAAAGAGCTTGGCTTCCCACCCCATCTTCACAATGGTAAGTGTTTTTCATCACTGGTTCTCATCACTGTGTTTGCTCTGAAATATTTTCTGCATAGGTAACGGAGTCCTAATTTTATTTGTTTTCTTGTTGATGGGCTTGCTTGTTGGTACTCACATGGGCTTTACTATAACTTTTCTGGAAGTGTAGTGATTAGCTGCAGGGTTCAAGATAATGAGTTTTTCAGGAGCCTGCTAGGAAATCTGGTAGCGTGCTATCAGTTAGATGTTAACCTTAGGCTGAGTTATGTTCAGATATATGTTTGCTCTTTGCTTTTAATAATGTAAGTTCTGTAATAATATGTAGTGATAAAAGACATTAGTATCTAGAAGTTTTTAGTACTACGTTTGTGTGGCTACGTAAGGTGCTTAATGATGATATTCTAGCTTTCTTAGGAGTTCTATGTGAATTTTCAACTTGAGCTTTAGTTCTAGCTCTTTAAACTATGCTTCTTGTGTGTCTAGAGATAATTTCTTATTAATATAACGTTGATGTGTGCATGTTTTGCAAGAATGTAATCCTGTATTATCTGACAGGACAGTAACAGAACCCATTATACTATTTTTTAAATTTTTCAAAACTTCAAAGGGCTAGTTGCACATGTTCTGTCTTTCTGAGTAGGTAGTTTTCAAGGAGAGAACCTGATATAAAAAATACATGAAAGCTTGGCTTCTCAATTTATCTGACAAAACTACTTCTAGTACTAAGCAGTGTCATGGTGTCATTGCCCTCCTGGTGGAAGGACAATAATATCAGACATAGTAAAATTGTTAATAAAAAATGGCCTTTCTCTTTAAGTATACTGAAAGCTGGAGTTCAATAGGTTTCATGAGCAAGGCCCAGAAATAGCCTGTAACACTTAGCCTGAAACTACAGGGCATTATACTTCCTGAAAGTAAGAGACTGAGGCCTCGTTCTTTCCCACCCCCTAGCAGAGTGCTGCTCAGCCAAGATCAAAGGGTACTTGAACGGTTTGGCTCTGACTTTCATAAGAGGTACTCTGAAAGCAAAGCCTAACTAAAGTGTTTCTTAGGCTTAATGCAAGTTACTGTGGATTTTGCTTTGTGGTTTTTACACAAAGCTCTGTTCAGCAGTCCCTGCTGAGCTTCTGCACTTTAGCTTCACTCTGGATGCTAAAAGTTACATGTTCCTAAACCCTGCAGAACACAAGGCTTCTCCTTGCCACAGCTAGAAGAAGAAGGGATATAATGCTTCCAAGGAGTAAGAACTGGCACAGTGGCTCACATCTGCAGGACCCCAAGCAAAAGCAGCACTGTGTGAGCAAATGCAAAAATGGAGCTACTGGTGGTTAGCTAACTAATTAGCGACCCCAGTGTAGTCGGTTGTTCTCTACTCTTCCTGCTTGGAAAGAGTCAGTGTTACTTTACCAATGCTGATCAACAAGTTCTTATGATCACCTCAAAAACATACACAAACTGTTTCTTGGGCGAACGTGAGATAAAGAATATAATTCTAGAAAACATTCTCCCAGGCAGTGCATGACCATTGCTTCGGAAATTGTGCAAGTATCAGAGGTTGCCTTGCTGTCTGTAAAGAACTACTGTGATGGAGATGACACTGATTTCTTTCTTCATACTTCTGTGCTCAGAGGCACAAAGCTCAGTCACTTTCCAGTGGAGAGAATCTCCTGACTTGGAGAGAATAACTGTTTCATTCCTTCTAGCTAGCAAAGGAATTGCTGGGGTGGGGGTGGTACAGTAGAAATGACAATATGTACTCCCGAACTCAAGGCTGTAAATGATATCACTGTAATCTCTTCTGATAAAAACTAAGCCTTTGCACTCCAGAGCCTAGTGCGTCTTATCCCTGACCACTGATCAGGCCAGACAACCCAAGTACACTTTAACTGTCTAGCCTCTTATTGCACAAGAGGCCTCACAGGTGGTTTGAGACATCCTGCTCATTTTATATCTTTGTGGTCACTGGGAGCTGAGCCCTTCAAAACTCAGGGGTTTCAAGCACTCCACCCCCACCCCCCGCATGCTTAAGAAAGCAGCGGGTGCTCAGACTTGCTGCAGTGGAAGCTGGTGTCTGTCAAAAATGCCCTGGCTTTGTCACATGCTGTATTGAGTTGAGTTTTCACTCAGTTGATATAGATGAGGTGGATTTGTGGGTTAAGTTCTGGTTGTAGCTACTCCATAGGACAGATCTAGGGTAGAGCTGTTCACCTCCCATGGACAGAAAACTCTGTCAAGTACAGACTCCTATCCTCTCTGCTAGCTCTCCTGCTTTGAGGGCAGCAGGATTAAGTGGCTTTCGGAGGATACCAGAGGTGATTAACTAGCAGTGACTTGGATTTACAAGTAGTTACAGTAGAAGCTCTAGGCATAGAAAACGACTCTGCTAATGCTGGGAATTGAGACAAATTTGCTGACAGTCTCTTGCCACAGCTTCAATAGCACACCTTATGTACTTTGATAGGAATGACTAAAGCCCACCTAAGGAAACATGGTTGGCAAGTAAAAGCTAAAACACTGTCACTATTCTATTCATAAAGTAGGGGAACTCAAAATAGCCTTTCAGATATGAAAAGCTTTTTTTTTGTGTATTGCAAACAAGATCTAGGTATCTGTGCTTTTTTGACACAACGTGAACTTCTGTAGCTTTAAAGGATGTTAGGTTTTGACTCTGACATATGTAGTCTCATTCAGTGCTGTATGCAGGCTAATGAAGACTTACTAAAAAAAACCCACAAAACTAGAAGCAAATGAGCATACAGTACTTCCCAGGTTTTAGATATAAACTTGTCAACAGGTCTTTCTTTAAATTAAAAATCCATTTGGCTTATAAGTGAAAATCATCCTTGACTAGGTATAAGAATGCTGGTTAGGTTACACTAGGATTAGACTACTGTCTGTTTTTTCTTCCTATGCGGGAGACTTGTGGAATCAATTCAGAATCTGAAGGCAAAAGCTTTGCTGCATTTAATCATCTTCAGGCTTTTCTCAGTTTGATCAGGTGTTCTCTCTGGACTTTGAGTTCTCTGCTCCAAGCATCATTATCCTTCAGGGCCTGATGTTCAGTCTTCCTAGATGTCTTGGTGTAAACTGCCTTGCATGTGAGTCAGTGAGGAGATGAGAATACCCTGATGGAAAGATTTTCAGTGACTTATCTACAGCTGCATGGAGCATTTGGGGTTAGTAGGTTTTCTGATCCTAACCACAGAAAGGTCAGACAAGTGTCCTCTGTTAATTTTCTGTCAAATAAGTCCATGTAACAGACAGCAGCTCTTTGTGACAACTGCACTGATCTGCTTGATTAGGCAGTGTTAATGCTAGGCCGTGCTAACAAGTTAGAGGATTTGGTGCTGTAGACACAGTTCTGTTTATTACCTCTAGCATGGTACTCTAAAGGCAACCTATCCTTCCTGGTTTCTAGGCAATTGACTTAAAATTACTATTAAAATGAGCACATGAGAGCACGCTTCAGCCATTAATACTGGTACAGCTGCACAGACATGTGGTCTCTTCAGTTCCCTGCATATAGCTCTCTTCTCTTACTGCTGATTGAAAAATTTTGTGTCCAGACAAGAGTCATCTAAAATGCACTGAGTGCAAACTCTGTTTGGCACATCTGGGGATGGAAAAAGCCTGGAAAATAGCCCAAGCTGATTGCTATCAATAAAAATTCAGGGGAGTCGAACATGAGTACTCTGGTATCCCTCTAAAAAGATGTGAGAATAGATGTGCCATGGTCTAGCTTTGCCAACTTCTAGCAAGCTAAGCTTCCAATATACAAATGGTGCAAATGTAATTTGCTCTGTCACTTGGATCTAGTAGTGAGCTTTGAGTTAAAGGAATAAAGTTTGTATATCCAACTCCTCTCCATGTTGGAGAGTGAAGATGCCTCTACCAAGCTGCTTCTGTGTTCATGCTATAAAAAAGTGACTTGTTCATGTTAATAAAAGAGGAAGTGGCTGACTCACACCATAAACCAGATACTGTTTAATCACCTACAGGAAGCTGTTTACTAACTGCAAAAGCAGCTGATTGCCAAATTTACTGTATTAATAATCTTCATTCTACCAAATAGAGCAGTGTGAGAACCTAAACTGTTAAGTGGCTTTGCTCTGAATGTAAACTTAATCAGCAGACCTGGTTTTAAGGGATTTTTTTTTTTTTTCTCCAGGCTCTGTTGATAAAGGCCCAAAGGAAGTGCATGGAGACGAGTGATATCCTGTGTTGAAGAAAGAGCAGGTTTTTGCTTCCTAGGTTTGATATGCTCAGTGACTGCCAAGGGTGGTTCCTGCCTTTCTTGCTGTAGCATAATTTTTGTGGATTCTCAATACATGAAACCAAGATCAAGCGTTTGAAGGGCACATTGTAACTAAGACTTAGAGTAGAGAAGTGGTCTAAGGAGTTGGTACTTTTCAGCAGGGTAGGCAACATTCTTTTGGCAGCCTGGACTTGATGACAAGCCTCTCAGGTACTTTTCTTATCCAGATGCTGAAAGGGCAAAGTATGCCTTCTCTCACCAGAGAATACATTAGGATTGCTGATTAACACAGCCACCGGAAAATGAAAACTACAAAACCATAAACCAGATACGGGTGGTCTAACTCTGGTCAGTCTGGACTCAGAGACCCGAATTCTGACTTAGGGGCCTGGCTGAATTTACTAACTGTTTGGAAAATACCTTCAACTTTCTTGGAATTTTAGTTAAAGGGTAACTGGAGCCCAGTGCTCCAGAATGCCTGGTGGTGTTCTTGTATAGGGATTTAGTTAGTTGCTAGCAGACATACTATCTACTGACCAGGTTCCCTTGATTCTGTATGAAGGAATTTGAAAGAGAGTGGTTATTCATCTTTCAAAGTGTGATGTGTCATGTCCTGCATAGCTATTTAGATACTAGCAAAGATTAAGTTGGTAAGATCTGAGTTGATACAGACAAAAAGCAGTCATCTCTCTTAGATTTGTCTTGGCCATTCAATCTTAAACATACCAGAACATTTTAGAGATTAAAGTACTTGTTTCTAAGGGACGAGGCTGAGGTAGATGTCTCTTTGTCTCTTAAAAGAAATCCTGCATTCTCAGTTCTGCCCTTGAAGGAAGAGACTCTGGAGGATGCAAACAGCAGAACCACTTCTGTGTTTCCCAGCTAGACTGCCACTGCACACATTGACGTCCAGGTCACCACTTCCTAGTGGAAAGTAACTTTCACAGTTTTGACTTGTGCGGTATCTCATGCTGAACACACTTTCACTATCTGACATACTTGTCCAGCACAAATCCTGCTTTCCAGTAAGACCAGCTGATCATGAAGATACTGCTTGTCCTGCAGACTTACATATGTAGGTGTAACAAAGACGTAATTTAGCAATACCTCTACTATTTTAGCAATACCCCCTCCTATTGGGCAGCTATAATATTGAGTTTTCTTACTTCTGCTACTTACATCACTGAACTGCAGGCATTTATTGGTTATACTTAATTTGGGAAGCTATATACTGGTTTTCCCCAGGCAGATTTTTACTCTTGAATAGAAAGAATTGACATCTGTTCCTTGTCTGACCTCATCAAGCTTCAGCTTTTTGTGGAGGTGGATGCAGCATGGATTAAGATTTATGGGGACAGGTGACTTTAAATCTCTTAAGAGGCTTAAAGCATTGCATAAGTATGCTTCATTATTGTACCAGGACTCTTTAGGGGCAAACTGCTGAAATGATTTGTAGTATTGCTTAACAAACTACTTAAGTAACCATGGCTTATAGGTAGTGAGTGCTTCTAACTCATGTCTACTAAACTTCCTGTTTGTTTCAGGTTCATTTCTGGCTCCACTGATCCAGCACAATGATCTGGATCCTTCAGGTCTTGTTCTCACCGCTCCCAACACCAGCATTGATTAGTCTTATTGTATTTGGAGCTGGCATCTTCCTGTGGGTGATAAGCAGGCCAAAACCTGTTTTGCCTCCTGTTGACTTGAACAAGCAGTCAATAGGAATTGAGGTAATACTTATTCTGTTTGTGGGCATGGACTACTTTTGAGCTTAATCTGAATACTGATCCATTCTGACTCTGGGTATCAGTTGAAACTCTCCTGTCTGATATACACAGCCTTCTCTCTTCTTCTCAGGTGTACAACTCAACAGTATGGTGGGGAAAAGGGAAGTCTTAAGACACTAAGAGTAAGAAACAGCAGCTCTTGCCAAGAGGGTTAGGTGGGCTTTTTACCAGATGGCCTTGGCTACCACTGACTTTTTTCTGTATTTTAAATGCTTTGCATCAGCTTTGAGGCTGGTGCTAGACTTCATGTAACTAGGCAAGTGGTAGCACTCAATCTTAGAGAGATTAGAGAGACCTTGACTAATTCTCTCTAATTAATTGAGGCCATCTAGAACATTCCTCTGCATATGACTGATGATTGAGTAGATCAAAATCAGGAAGGAAAATGAGACTTCCCTAACAATGTAATGCTACTGAAATGCTTTAAAGGGGATTGCTGGGAGAATGGCTGAGGAACAAATGACATACTGCATCTGTTCTGCACTGTTTCATAACTATGCTCTGTTCCTAGGGAGGAGCCAGAAGAGGGGCACTCTTGACAGATAATAACTTGCTTTCTTACTACTTTGAAGATGGTAAAACCTTGTATGAAGTTTTCCAGAGAGGACTGCATGCTTCTGGTAAGCTTTGCATCTTCTAGTTAGTACTTGCCTATCACAAGTAAAATTATTCCAAGCTCTTTTGCCTTGCCTTTTGTCTGTAGTAATAATTCTGGCTAGCAAAAGCTTTCCTAGCCTTCTGTGGGGTGCAGTGATGAATGCCCATATATTTTTTCCCCCCACTGATTTAGAAGTAGTCTTAGTTGGCAGACTTGGCAGGAACAAACGTCAGAAGCTTAAGGTGGTAGAGTTCACTGAGGTCAGCAGATACTAAGCATCAGAGGTAGTTGGGAGGAAACACGTCTGCTTTGTCTTACGATGTGGGTTTTAGTGTAGAATTACTGCCTGCTTACAACAGGTATGAATTTGTGCACATGACTTCAGGGCTCCCATGCATGGAAATACGTGATAGCTTGCAAGCTATTTCAACCTCACATGGGTTGTGAAATGGGGAAAGATCACCAGATCTTGAAGAATGGCTTGTAAGGATAAAGCCAACAGTCTTACAGTCTTCGTTTGGGCAGAGTGCTTAACTATGGACACTGTGTGCTTCCATGCTCCACGCAGTTAGCTGGATGTCTGACTGAAAATATTTCCCACTTAGTGTTGCATTGAAGTGCTATGCAACTTCAGTACTGAGCTTTACAATTGCTTTTCTGAACTCTTCCATTAGGCAATGGCAGCTGTTTAGGCTACAGAAAACCCAACCAACCTTATCAGTGGCTGACATATAAACAGGTGAGTATTGTACACGACAGATGATTTAATTTGGGACACTGTCTTGTAACACTAAAGTGGGGGAAAACTATCTTACAGGTTTTGGACAGAGCTCAATACCTGGGATCAGGGCTTCTGCAAAAAGGATGCAAACCATCATCAGACCAGTTTATTGGCATTTTTGCTCAGAATAGGCCAGAGGTAAGCAACAAATTGAATACTCTTCCCCAGAATATTCTGACACCTTGGAGACAGAGGAAGGTCTGGATTTAAATAGCTTGAGGCCACATGAGGAACAATCACAACTGGCTTTTTCCTTCCCAGTTCCGTTATTACTGACTGAGCACATACCATGCCAGGCATGTAGTGCAATGATCTTGAACCCTAACTACTCAAACAATCTCATGGACATGCTTCTTACACAACCCCCAGTACTAATGTGTGCATGGGCTAATCAAGCTGCGTGAAATCTGTAGGTAATCCTGTCTTGTGAGCTGCTAGTTTTCCTTAGCTGTACTGTTTTCTCTCTTCAGTGGATTATTTCAGAGTATGCCTGCTACACTTACTCAATGGTTGCTGTTCCACTCTATGACACTCTGGGGCCAGAGGCCATTGTATATATTGTTAACAAAGGTAAATATTGACTTCCACTATTTCGTAATGATTTCTCTAAGAAAATTTGTTTTGAGAAGGCTGAAGTTCAAGAGAATTTGATGCAAAAATCAGACTAGCTTTAACCTTACTGTTCTTATGCTTTTATAGACCCTTAATTTCTGTAAATGAAGCTGCTTTGCAGGGGACATGGTTCAATGCCTAGAAGAAGCCAGTGGGCTTCCTATGTCTCCTAGTGTCTTGAGTGCAAGTCCACTGGAGACCTGCTAGATCCTGTGGACCATCCTGTAATCAGAGTGTTCAACTAGTTGCTATTTGAGGTTTTGTAATCTTGAATGCACACACTGCCAAACAATCAGACAATGCAGACAGGCTTGCATGCAAATTAATACTAGATGTGTGTCTCTAATTTAAAGTTGTGGGATGTAAAGAGTGGAGGAGAGAAGGGTAAAGATATGCCTAAATCTGTTTAATCTATCTGGTTAAGGCCTATTGTTCTACAGAAGCAATAACTAGCATGGCATCATGGAATAAACTGGTGAGGAAGCTTGACTAAATCTTGAGGCTTTCTTCCCCTAGTCTTAGGGGAGATATGAGGGGGGAAAAATATCCACTGCTGTCACAGTGATCTGGGATCCAACCCATAAACAGGATTTGCCAAGCAAAATCACTTGAACAGTTATGCTGGTGAACCTTGCAAACAGGTCTTGCCTTGGGACTACAAAGCTGTGACTTACTAGGCTAATGGGGAACTGGCATGTTCATGCAAATCCAATTCCTCTGCTGACTTAATGGGAAATGCTTTTGTAATTGCATAAAACTCTCTTGCACATGCAGGGAAGTTGAGGCATTAACTCAAGAATTTTAGCTACCTCTTTCAAACAGGTCAAAATTTCTTTAGATTTAAGGAAGATGGCTAAACCTAAACAATCGGTGAGGATAATTCTGAGCTTTTATGGCAATACCAAAAGTTTAGCTGCCTATCTTGACTGTGACTGAAGATATTTGTCTTCAGTTCTGCAGCATTTGCTCTTACTCTGTATAGCTAGAATCTCAGGTTTGCCCAATCCGTTGGCCATAACAGCAGAAACCTTCTTAGCACTCTAAGCCAGCCACTGAATCCATATAAGCAAATGCAAATGGCTTTAGAACAAACCAATGCTGTGTTCTAAATGCATGTGCTACTGAGCTGTCACTCACTAGCCTCACATCTCCTAACAGACTTCTGAAATGTAATTTCTTTTCTGTAGCTGACATAAGCATAGTGATCTGTGACAAGCCCGAGAAGGCACAGGTCTTGCTTGAGAACTGTGAGCAAGAGAAGACCCCATGTCTGAAGTCTATCATTCTCATGGATCTCTTTGATAAAGAGCTCAAGGACAGAGGAGCTAAAGTGGGGATTGAAATTCTAGCACTGCAGGAGGTTGAGGTAGGTGACTAAAAGCTTCTGCTTGATCTTGCAGAGGAATACCTTGCCAGCTAGACATCTGGACCTTCTCTGGCAACAATGACACTTTAATGTAAGCATTATCCAGTTGTCACACCTGTACCTGAGATCTTGATGAGCAGTCATTTTGAAACTTGATATATTTAGCCAAATGGACTTGCAGAGTTCAAACCATTGACTAAAGTTGCGTCCATGTGTTGTGGACAGTCAGTATGCATTAAACTGAAGACATCCTTAGCTTAATTCATGGTGCAGTTGTAACAGGATTTATTAGGCTTCTAAGCTGGCAGTTGAGTCTAATTGAAACTGTAAGGGCAAATTACTGGCTGCTTTGACATCCCAATACTAGGTTTAATCTTCCAGATATGATGCATAAATGTAAAGTATGAGAGATGTGGCCTACATCAAATAAAATGAAATATCTCCACTCAGGACTTCCAAATTCCTTAAGTAGTTCTGATCACTTTCTACACACTCAAATTCATGCTTTCCACAACCCTAGGAGTCAGCTTTTCCAAGTTGTGTGTATTAAATTTAGGAAGATCAACATTTCTCTCTGAGTGAGACAGAGTATCAAAAGGCAAAGTAAAATAAAAACAAGTGCTGCGTTTGAAATTTGCAATTACCTATTCATCTACTGTTGTTGCATGTCTTTCTGTTGCAATTGTTAAGCTGCTTTTTCTCTCTAATGCAGGAGCTGGGAAGAAACAACATCAGAGAACCAGTTGTAAGTATCTCTGTGGAAGTTATTAACTTGCAAAACTAGTCTCAGAAAAGACCTTGTGCCATGCTGCTAGTAGAGGAGGCTGGCAGGATTTTTTTTTTTTTTTTTTGTCTCTTGTCTTGCTGTTTCCAACAGAATTCCTGGTTCATCCCACTTTAGGAAGTGTATGTAAATACTGATAAGCAACATAATCCTTACTCTGGCCTTATGTGGCTTTTTCCCTCTAGCCTCCTAAGCCTGAAGATCTTTGCATTGTGTGTTTTACCAGTGGAACCACAGGTAAGAGAATGTATAGTGATGCTTCCCCACTAAAACAATGTCCCTGTGCTGAGAAAAACAGCTTTCCAGCACAAAAAAACGAAACGCTAACAACGTAGAAATAAAACAGTAAAACAGAGTTTTACTTGGGGCATTGTCACTACAAGTCAAGTACACTAAGAAAAAGCTTCTTAGAGCTGGGGGTAAGAATAAGCAAATTCATGTTGTCTTATCCTATGAAAAATACAGAGTCTTAATGTTAAAGAGATTGGTTGTTTAACTGTGTCTGTATTCTGATCCACAGGGGCTAGAGAAACATCTTGTTTCAGCATTATCTATGCTACTCCTAATTACTCCGCTGTTTCAATAGATGTTTCCTGTATATAATATCCATAGCTGAAGGCGCTCAAGATGAGGCATATTTGTGATCTCTTAAGACAATGCATACTATGACTAAGCCTAATACCAAGATAGTTCAAACTGAGCCAAAGAAGACATGGGAAACTGACAACAAAAGCAGTCAGAGCCACAGCTGACTTTGCTTGATCTCTCCAAAGGTAACCCTAAAGGAGCCATGCTGACACATCAAAATGTTGTTGCAAATGCTGCTGCCTTCCTTAGAAGCACAGAGGTAAGCTACTGTTCATGGAGATCTCTAGACTATGTCACTCACTCATGAAACTAACTTAAATGTGGGCATTTTCTGCAAACCATTCACTCCCAACAAACTCATGCTTTCCTAAGTGCCCATGTTTCAATGGGAGAATAGTATTGCAAGAAACTTGGTTTAGCCTTGAACAAGAACTTCTACACAGAAGTTATTCTTGAGTGAGTCAGTCCTAAATGCCAAGAGTACTAAACTACGCTATTTCAAGTCTTGCCAAAACATAAAACTAATCTTGATCTAGTATGGCTGAGTTACAGCTGCAAATTCTGAAGAGGTGATGGATATGCCTGAGTTGCTTCAGCCACTTGAAGTGTCTGTTTCAAAGTATTCAATTGATCCAAACTTTGTTCACTTTTGACTTAAGAGTAATTGAAGCAGGCATAGGGAGTGCTAACCTACTTCTATTCCTTTCCCCTCTAGAACACAGTTGAGTGTACAAGTTCAGATATCACCATATCCTATCTTCCCTTGGCTCACATGTTTGAGAGAGTTGTACAGGTATGTACAGATGTATGCATCTGAGCTTCTGTAAATCAAATAACAGCAAAAGGTATGATAGCCTTCTGTATTTCCTCAAAACCTATTCACACAAGAACTTTCCTACCACTGGGCATTGGAAATCATGCTGCTTTCCCTAGACAGTTATGGCTAATGAAACTAGGAATTATCCTTGACTAAGCTTAATCTGGTCAATTTTTAGACTGTGGTCTACAGCTGTGGAGCAAAAGTAGGCTTCTTCCAAGGAGACATCAAGTTGCTAACAGATGACATGAAAACCTTGAAGCCAACGCTATTTCCAGTTGTACCAAGACTGCTCAATAGAATATATGACAAGGTATGTGAGCAATTTTAGCTGAATTTGTGTTCATATATCTAAGCAAGCATACAAGTTTAAGTTAATATTGAATGCATCATAGCATCACTGCTAGTTAATTACTCCTTAGCAGGAAGAATTCTTTAAAATCCTTTCTGAAGAGATGGAAAGAATCCTGGGACCTGGAGTATAAGAACAGTGTATCCAGTTATGACTGGGCTAAATCTGTTGCTGTTCAGAGACAAAAAGTTTGTTTACTTTCAGAATGCAACTGAAGCAAGTGCAAAGCTAGAAGGATCCCTGTCCCTCAAAGCTATGGCTGAAGTATGTCAGCAGTAACACAAATTAGTATTGCCCCTTGGTTCATCTCCTAGACCATGGCAGTAGTGAAGACAGACCCTAGAACATCAAAATAAGATATGGTGCCCCCTAACAACAAAGCAAAAACTTGGGGGTACAGATGTGAGTTAAACCCAAGTCACCGATACTTTTCCTTGCAGATACAAAGTGGTGCAAATAGCCCAGTGAAACGTTGCCTGTTAAACTTTGCTGTGACTATGAAAATGGCTGAAATAAAACAGGGCATAATTCGAAATGACAGCATTTGGGATCAGCTGATATTCAAAAAAGTTCAGGTAAGTTATTCCAAGTTTAAGTAAGCTAAGCAAGGTAGTATTGGAGGATCTGATGGCTTCTGTTTCACTTGTAGGAAACCATGGGTGGAAGAGTGCGTATAATGGTAACAGGTGCAGCCCCTATATCTCCCTCTGTCCTGACATTTCTTAGAGCAGCACTAGGCTGTCAGGTAAGCTGAGTTTTTTCTTAAAGTAAGACCTGTTAGATTACGCCCAAATAAGTGATCAGTGATACAGCTGTGGTCCAGCCCAGCTTGTTCCTGGGGAAATTGCTGTCAGTCTTCAGTATTTACAAGCTGCTTGATCTGACCTAACTGTAAAAGGAATAAAATTCTGCAGGGCTGGCTTCAAACTACACTACCAAAAAACTACCTTTTACACTCTGGGAAGAGGCATAGAGCTGCAAAAATAAGAACATGTAGCACTCAAAGTCAGGCAGCTGCTTCTGAGCTTTATGGCTTATTCTGACAGTCAATGAGCTGTCAATGTAGTACATTTGAGAACAGAGTTCAGAGAATGAGGTGACCAAAGCAAGGTTTGGGTAGGTGAACTTAAAAGAACATCTGGTTACAGCAATAAGAGAGCTGCAGAAATAAGAACATGTAGCACTCAGTCAGGCAGCTGCTTCTGAGCTTTATGGCTTATTCTGACAGTCAATGAGCTGTCAATGTAGTACATTTGAGAACAGAGTTCAGAGAATGAGGTGACCAAAGCAAGGTTTGGGTAGGTGAACTTAAAAGAACATCTGGTTACAGCAATAAGACCAAGAAGTCTTAAAGGCTAAGATTGTCTTGGCTTCCTTCCTTAAGAAGAAGACTTGAGCACAGGCATAGTTGAAACTGAGCTCTTTCACACCAAGGATTTGATGTTCAAAGAATATTCATCCTTTCTCACACAGATCTTTGAAGCTTATGGCCAGACTGAATGCTCAGCTGGATGCACTTTTTCAATGCCTGGAGACTGGACAACAGGTATGGTAACTGAGACTTAGAAACTCTCCCACAGCTGTCAACAGAAAGTGGTACTCAAGCTTTGGTGCTCTACTGCTTTTAGTTCAATGAAAGTTAAATCCTGGGTACTTAACCTCAAAGTGATTCTTGGTAGCAAGTCACCTGTATGCTTAATAGGTACCAAAATTCTTGACTCAAAGAGGTGAGGATCTCTTGTGTAAAGTGACATAGGTCAGCTTAGAGCCTGTCCCAGTGCAGTGGAAAGGAGTGTCTGTACAGAGCTGAGCAAACTGGACAAGGACTTCCAAAATGGCTTTTAGAAACTAGCTTTACCTCCCAAATAACTTGTTTTACTCAAAGAATTATGACCAAAATATCAGACATGATACTTGACTATATTCCTGAAGGACTACCTGACCTTGAAGATTTAGCTTTCATCTTAGCAAGGATGTTTTTAATATTGGGTATTTTAAATGCAAGCTCAAGTTGCTATCTTTGAGACCATAGTAACTGCAGAGCATAATGAGGATGAAATGCAAATGAATACCAGGGTCTATAAGGGAATTCTGTAGAGGCAAGTGTAGGTACATGGTTGGTGTGGTTGATTATACCAATATATGACTCTAAGCATTGAGACTTAGCTGCTGCTTATCCTGCATTAACTGTCTGATAATGGCATTGCAATAACTCTCTTGAACATTTGGTGTCAGACTCCTTTAAACAGCACTAGTTCTTGCTAAAGCAGTGAACAAAGAGCCATTATAGAATCATAGAATCATTATGGT